TTCATCAAATTAACACAAATGAATGCACATTACATAATACAGGATGGCCCCAAAAAATGCAACCCTCAACTTCTTCAATATTTGTCTTAAATGGAGATTAATTGCTTTGAGATTTGGCACACAGGGACTTTATTCAATGTGGGATCCTCTGGCAAAGTTTTAATAATTATAGTCTTATATTGATAGAGTTATGGTTGTTTCAAAATATGCTCCAGATATCGTCAATTTCGCTGAAAACAAACTTGCAATGTTCAAGGAAAACTTCATAACACGGATGCATTTTTCCCCATTGGTATGGCTCAAATTTTTGCGGTAGGGTTATTTTCATACACATTATCCTTTAAATAACCCCATATATAGAAGTCAGGGGCATTGAGATCAAGACGTTGGGATGACCATAGGTTCTCCATCCTAGGAGAGATAATCTTCTCATATGAATGACTAGTGAGCCAGGCTATGCTATCATAAGAGTTTGAGGAGTAGCTCCATACTTCTAGAACCATTGTTCTTGTCTATTGAAGCCTGTATGTCAATCTAGAACTGCCTAGAACTTCCTGGGAACGTCGATATTGCGCTGTGTGTTAACAGTAACATTGGAGAGGTTAAGCTTTGCATATATAATCGAAACTGAACCTGTACGTATCACTCGACCATATACAAATTCATGTAGCCTTCTCATATAAATAGCCGTTCAAATCCAGTGTTTGTTTAGACTACACCATAGCGTGTAATGATTCTATAGTATGTCATTGATGCGGTTTTATAGCTGGTTTTCTAATACATATTTTAAACGAGCTCGTTTCGTAAGATTTTTGGCGCTAAATCATGCATGACATACATCATCGTGTTCAGCAAGAATTCAACTGTGCATCGAAATCAAAATTGACAGCATAGTGTTCAATAGACACGAGTAAAATGGTTCCCGTTGACCCAACGTCAAATTTCAAATCTCCCGTTCTAAACCCGAAACTCTGAAGCTGAAAGAGTATCTGAAGTAGACTAAGCGCGCATAAAACTATGAGCGCTCGATACATTCCTTTGTTAATTTTTGTACTTTGCGTTCACGGTTACGTTGTGAAAAACATCGTTAGCTTAACCTCTCCAGTGTTGCCATTATCAACCTCAAACCAAAATGGGCTGATGATTTCACGTTTGGAAATTGCATTTAACAGAATGAAGGGACCTTTGAAGTACTTCATCTGGAATTTGTGATCCCAGAACACATTATTTCTTGAGTTTACATGTTCAGAAAGAAGGAAATGTGATTCATCCGAAAACCTAACATTGGAAATGGACGACATTTTGAGCATATTTTGGAACGACCATAACTCTAATAATATAAGACAATGATTATTGAAACTTTGCCAGGGGATTCCACATTGAATGAAGTTCATGTGTGCCAACTTTCAGAGCAATTAACCTCCATTCGAGAAAAATATTGAAGAAATGGAGGGTTGGATTTTTTGGGTCACCCTGTATATGTCATTTAAACATAAAACAAAAATTAGAACCTCATATTATCATGTTAATACCATCATTTCAAAAAGTGGTCCGAGTTGTCTTGGGTCCGAGTTGTCTTGGGTTCGAGATGTCTTGGGTCCGAGTTGTCCAGGGTCCGAGTTGTCTTGGGTTGAGCGTGGAGTATGTTGCCAGCATAGGTATGCGATCTTGTTTCTGGGACAGTATCGTTCTGAATTTCCCATTTACGAATGCCCATTTTATTTTCAATTTGTTTTTGTTTCGTTAAAGATAATAATCTTACTTTAACTGTTCATTCCAGTATGATAGGACATACGCCACTTAGAGCTATACTCTGACACTACGTTGAGTAATTCTTGTAACTCATTTGGTGTTGTCGCAATGACAGTGGTATCATCAGCGACAAGTAGCGTAGGGATGCGCATGTCGCCCATTAGAGCTCCAAGATTTGTATTTAAAAGTTCTAATATAAGGGCGTTAATATAAACTAAAAGCAAGATCGCACTGCTTATTCGACCTTGTCCTACTCCTTGAAAAACCTGAAATTCTTTTGATAGCTCACCATTATAAAGTACCCTTGAATATATGTCAGTGTAACTGACGACTATGAGTCGCCATACGTTACCATTTATGCTCAGGTGATATGGCTTATGAAATAACCATTACGCCACAAAAAATCGTAACATTTTACGTTATCAAGAAATGCCGTGTAGAGTAAGCTATGTCTTTCGTTATAATAGTGTACTAGATATAGTTCTTTGAGAACAAACACCGCAAACCGACTACACGAACCTTCTTGATAGGCAAACTGCAGAAAGTGTAAACAACCACGAGCCTTAATTTAATGGGTATTGGCTAGCAATATCTAATTTTTTCTTCAACATGTATTGTAATGACTTCAGTATTAATGAAATGTCCCTTGGTCTTCTGGTCTTGGATTGTGATATTGGTTCTTGAATGGTGGGGGAAAGGGGGTATTAGACATCGTTTCTTTTCACGTTAGATCATGGTTTTGGGCTATATGAGGTTTATTTTTCTGGACTTAATTTTCTATACCTCAAGATTTTCCCAACTTGTTTTATTCGATTACAACAGGTCTAAAGGTGATGACAAAGTTGACTACAGTGTTATTTGAAGTCCATGGTTGAACGAGGCGTATAGCCTTTTTATTTTTTCGTGAAGCCACTCAGTAAAATTACGATTTCTCTGCAATCTGATGTCCAATCAAGGTCATTCAAGTATCTATGTGTTCCTGACACGTTTGGGCACCCGGGAGTGACAACGTATAACCCTGTTTATTTTTCGTGAATCCACTCAGTAAAATTACGATTTCTCTGAACCCTGATGACCAATCAAGGTCATTCAAGTATCTATGTGTTCCTGACACCTTAGGGCGTCCGGGGATAACAACGTCTATCCAAAGTTTGAATGCGAAATCGACGTAATTCATGACTGAAATCGAGAGGACAAAAATTAAGATTCACAAACAAAATTGCTTGTGAAAACTATTTACAAAAGTGTTCCAGAGACTCTAATTTACTTGGCTAAGGTTTCATTTGAAGATGCAATGCCCCATTAAGGGGAAGAACAGAACACGGAAGCAAATGCTTATTGAAAATGTTTTATATATTTCAGTTTGAACATGCAGTTACATGTCACGTAGGCCAGTGTTTTATATGGGGATTACATGTACTCTACTTGTTAACATGAACGTAAATCATTACATGAAATCTGCAGTCTTTCGCGTTTCCTCTGGGTTTGTATTGTCTTATTTGGGCTTTTCGATTTAAAACAACCCTTACCTAAATGTATTTGTGTCTCGGGAACATTTTTGTAAATAGTTATTATAAACAATTCTGAAAGAATATCACATATTTTTGTCTTCCAGGATTCAGTCATGAATTACGTCAATTTCGCGTGAAAACATTCGGTAGACATTGGCATTAGCGGATGCCCAAAAGTGTCAGGAACACATAGAAACTCGAATTATGTTGATTGTAAATCAAGTTGCAGAGAAATCGTAATTTAACTGAGTGGCTTCACGAAAAAATGAGCACGTTTATATAGGCCACCGTCACAGAGGCCCCGATTTTCACTACGGCGCCCGGCTGGTGAGTATTTTGTTCAAAATCGTACGGGCGCCGGGCGATGATCGAGCACCATCGCCCGGGCGCCGGCATGGTTTTATCGCAGAGATAAGAGTTGCCGATGTGTTAGCGATTTCTTGAGTATGTTTTTTTGTGAGTATAGTTTTTTCAAGGACAACACTTTGCTGAGAGTCTAGCTACAATTTATTTTATTTGAGTATCATACAATAAATTAGATGATATGATTATTTTCAATAAATTAAAATGAAGTTCAATATCATAATGTTACAGAATGCACGTATACCTGCACGTATACCCATCATAGCTCATACAAACAATGTCAAACATGTCTCTAGTCAATGCTGAATGATTGATTTTTGAAACTGAAATGAAGGAAACTTTTTTATGAATATATGTATAGCTGTAGAGGCTCCCTGGTGTCCTGAATATCGACCGATGTCCTGGCGGTGTCGTACGGTCATCGGCAGATAGCCTTGCGATACCCGTGCGATATCCTATTTATTTAGTTGTTTGCGGGCGCCGTACGGTGCCTGCACTAATGTGACCATACTCACGGCGAAATCATGACATCGGGGAAAAGTCAGCGGCGCCCGGTCGATTTCGAAATCGGCCGATGGCTACTCATCGGCCGGCGCCCTGTGCATATGTGGCCTAGGCATTACAGAACGTGAAATCGCACTTTGGATGCATTGCCGAAATATGTGTTTACCATTGAATTCTAAGAGAACTCAAATTTCAAAATGTTTTTCTCTGAACCACTTTTCTGCGTGCGCTTACCAGTCCTTCAAAATCAACTTTTTGAAATTAAATCAAAGAGTCTCACACATTTTGATAACATTTGGTAAGACTAGAACATAAGCAAAAGTAGTTAAAACTTTATATGGGGTCTTTAACAATATTCCCGGGTTTCAAATTTGGTGCCTCTTTGAGACCTCTACAGTACGTATTTAAATTATGCCAGCATGGGAAAATGTTCAGTATATGGCCAAATCACGTTGAATTTTATAAGTTGCAAGACATTTCAGCATTTAAGCTTGCTGATAAAACAAAGTTGGGGAATCGAAGAGAAGACAACACTTATTTTTCAGCCATTTATCATCGATTGGTTCTCATACGAGCCCTAAGATTACATTTCTACTTATGTAATGTAATACTTTCAATTAACCATTGTTTTAACATTTTCCTGAAGTGTAACAGAAACCAAGGGGCATACTGCAGGATTCCCGAAATACCGGAATCACTAATTATATTTCTCCAAATGTAATGTAATACTTTCATTTAGTCCATTGTTTTAACATTTTCCTGAACTGTAACAGAAGCCAAGGGACATACTGAATTCCCGAAATACCGGAATCACTTTTTATATTTCTCCAAATGCAATGTAATACTTTCATTTAGCCCATTGTTTTACAGACATCAAGTATTGCATCTTCGGGATGGTAACGTCCAAGAAGTATCAAGTAACGTGCGTTAACAGTTTACTGGAACTATAAATTAGTCTGGCAACCAAAGACGTATCAGTTCGACTCGAGGCGTTTAAGACATTACAAGGGTCTGACAATAAATAAGAAAAGGTAAATATCTGTATTGTATATTCTTACATATTAGTATTTACTTCATCAATGTAAATTAATGGACCAAAAATAAATGCAACCTTTTATTATATTATTGAATGCATAATAATTAGAATGTGCTTTGAGACATGTTCGATTTCCCAAAAGGAAAAGTCGATTGCTCCAGGGACTTAAACTCCAGATACTGAATTTGGATGACCATAATGAAAATGGAATCTAATTTTAGGATGCAGATAATCAGCGGAGTGGTCATTCTTTTGTGCATTTTGACAGCTGCATTGGGATTTGTTACTGAGGCAAAAGCCGGGTGTCAAGGCGGGTTTTCCAACTACGCTGGTCACTGCTACTTTTACGCAGATAGTTCTGAGCCCAAATTAACATGGTTCGAGGCAAGTGCGTTATGTGTCTCGAAGGGTGCATATTTAGTAAACATAGGCTCTCATGGTGAACAGGCTTATATCGAGAGGATGATACGTAATACTGCAAGAGAAAACCTTTGGATAGGTAAGAGAAGCTTAAGTTTAAATACGACAAAACGTCGAGAGATGTATACATATTTTTCTTTAGAATGGCATTGTTTTGAAACATTACTTCAACTGAAACATTGCGGAATTCACATACCTTTATATTTCAAGATGTTTTATCTAATTGTTTACGTTGTCGATATTGGTAGGAGGAAACGATATTGGCCAAAACCAACAATATTGGACCAAGGGAAATGCAGTTGGCAGTACTGACGGGTATACTAATTGGAAAACTGGTGAACCGTCTAGACTTCATAGCGGCAACCGGGAACCATGCATGTGTATTTGGGGCGATTCGGGTGATCGATGGAATGATCTCGACTGCTTTGCTCGTATTTTTTACATTTGTGAGCATGATAATTCGCAATATTGAATTGCACACTAGAAATGAAACAATATATCAGCATCATAACATGACGTAAACTTTGCTTTTCGTTTTGAGAACCATGAACAAGGAACACTATTGAAGCGATCGGTTGATAGTGATTGAGCAAATTTCCATATTAACCCTACGTTACATTACACACTACATGTTACAGAAAACATTGAATTGCTTTTATCGCCTGTTTGTTAATACACTTAGATGATGACCTAATTCGTCATAAAATTCAGTGGCCATTTAGTTTTTTCCCCCTTTTAAAACACGTATGGCCAGAACAGAGCTACATTAGTACGTACAATATACTTCGATGATTACTTGCGCATGGATGTAACAGCTATTACGCAAATACGCACGGGTGTACGAAATTAATTGAGGAAGAAATAAAAAATGTGCTTATTATTTGAATGAAAGTTTTATTTTGTGCTTATTTAAAATACATTGATTTATTTTATGGTAGAGAACACGTGTATAGGTCAATTGTAAAGTACGTGCTCAATTCAATTCTGTCACCCCCTCTAGCAATATCCCTTGCGCTATTTTAGAGGTTTAGCTACACTTAAAACTTAAAATGATCCCAAATGACATCAAAATCCATGCCCCTTGACCCCCTTTATTATCTTCCCTGAGTGGGCATACCAACTCTAAATATAGCTCTTTGTCCATGGGCATACCAACTCCAAATATAGCTCTTCGTCCATGGGCCTACCAATTCTAAATATAGTTCTTCGTCCATGGGCATACCAACTCTAAATATAGCTCTTCGTCCATCCATGGGCATATCAACTCTAAATATAGCCCTTCGTCCATGTCGCTGAACTCTCGAGAACTGCATAATTTTCCGAAAACCATAACCGTTCCCAAATATCTTCACAAACCACAAATGGTGTTACCCAAAATGTGTCAAGTCGATTTATTTACAAAATGAGTAATTTACAAAATGAGTTTGGCAACCAGAAGTCACATTTAGATTGAGTCTGTTAATGATTGGCGATTTAAAAAAATCATCATTTGCCATAAATACCCAAACTAATGGAATTAAGGTACCAAATTAAGTTTCAAACATTGACCTGCTTTCATATGCTTAACGTCCTTTTACCAAATCAATGGATGAGAGTGAAAAGTGTGCACGGTGTGGTTCCATTTGCATTGATTCATATCTTAAAATGTGGATCTCGTCCTTTGCAAGATAATAAGAAACCTCGTGATGAATCCCTTAAAGTGATTTATATTAATGTTTAACCAGATATCACAGGATAACAAAGACCTATAAGCAGAGTATTATGTTGAGTTGTATAACTTTTATTCCTTCATATATTGAGGAGTACAATATTATGCTTTTTGATTAAAAAAGGAAGATCATGTATAATCTATGATTATTTAGTATTACATTACAACATTAAAATCAGTATTTTATACAGGGTGGTCCAAAAAATGGGACACTCATATTTCAAAAATAAATATTGATTTTCTTGATGAAAACATGTCATATTATACACCAGTGGATAGGGAATTTACTAATCTTTAATTTGGTATATCATAAGTTCAAATGTATTATAATGCCTGTCAACCAGCATCCATTATATAAATGACGTCATTTTCGTTTCAAAACGGGTTTTCCAAAACTTGCAAAAAAACAGGTTTTTATCAACTTCATTTAAATAAACAGACGTTCAATATGTTACCTATTTAATCAACAATAGCCCTCAATTTTGGCATAAACTGGTCAAAAGAATCATTGATATGCTGTTTAGACAATGAATTCAACTTCTCAACAATCCTGTCCTTAAGGGACTGAATAGATGTAAGATGTTCATGGTGTACCAAATACATGGTAGTCGCGGACGTTGTCATCGGATGATCAAATTCTGTTGCTTTTTGACCACCCTGATATGAGCTCATTTTTAAATCAATACATTTTCCAACAAGATTGGGCTCCAAGCAATAGATTCCACAAGAGTATCGAATGTTTAAAAGAAAATGTGCCTAGATTCATCCCCCTTAATCACTGCCTCCCCAGATCACCCGATCACCCAACGTCTGCGACTACCACGTATGGGGAGAACTAACAGAATTGGTGTACCATAAATCCTTTATATCTATTCAGTCCCTTAAGGACAGAACTGTTTAGAAATGAAATGCATTGTCTCAGTAGCATATAAATGATGCAATTGACCAGTTTAGGCCAACATTTGTCAATTAGGCCAAAAGTTGTCAATAAAACTTCGTTTTTACAAAGACCCCCCACGAAGTGCGGTTCTTTGTACCTTATTCCGGACATAAACCAGTGGATCGGTCACGTGACCTAAAGACCGCCTTTATTACCTTATATGGCAAATTGTCAAGGGAACTACTAAGTCGTCATATGACGCGATTACGGATCGATTGTGTTTCCAAGTAATGTCGTCATGTGACGTAGAACGCATTGTCCGCCATTGCTCTCAATTTTGTCTGAACGGGTAAGCGTATTTTAACATTTCTGTCATTTAAAGCCTGGTTTTCAGTATTTATAATCGAATTTCACTTCAACTTGATTGTAGAAATGAATAGAATTGTAACTTCTTATTTTACTGAATCATTATTCGAGCCAGAACATGAGAAGTGGCGCAAAATCAATTTATGAACTTGAAGAAATTTAAATAGCCTAGATCTAGGGCCTAGCCTACTCATGGTTCAACGAGTTTTTCAAATGGTTCAAATAGTCAACACTGATATATTTAATGTTCTGTAAATGGTTAGTATGATGCTATGCTGGTCGCAAGGAGAGGTATCAAAAGTTCAATGTCTGATAGGAAGCTTAATTAATATAGTTTTGAGTTTGACCCACTCCCCCAAAAAACGTGATCGCGGACTTTTCGCGTGTGGACTTTAGTGGATTTTGGATTTTCATTGAGATATTACCATAACGTACATGTATGAAGGCTACAATAACGAATTCTTAAAACATGTGACAACAACAGTAAACAGCATTTGCAGAAAACATCAAGTAAACTCTTTATTTAAAACCATTCAAAGGAATTCTGATCCGAGTCAAAATTGCACAAAAATTGAAATGTTAAAATTTGTCTGATAGCAAACTGAAATGGCTTTGACCCCCCCCCCCCCCCTTCTAGATTTATTTAGTTTTATAGGCTTATCCGTCGACATTGAACCTTAGATGCCTCCCGCCAGACTTATGTCACGAGACTGGCTATTACCATCTACATAAGAAGTGAACGATAGTTTTTCAAACTGGAAGGTCAAGGTCGGAACTCAAATGAATATAGACTGCCCCAATTCATTTCTTTTTCAGAACAAGAACGCCAACAACAACAAGATCCTATGCATACGACCACGCACACCAACAACAAGTGCAACAAAAAATAACGCAAACAATTATAAAGGTTATGTCAACAAAGACATATATTACAAATCAGGTGTGAAATCGGCAAAACTTGGTCTCAGTAGACAATACAAAACTTGGTCTCAGTAGACAATAAAAAAGTTTACTGTAGAAGTGTACATGCTAAGGTGTCAAGGTATGTATCAAATCAAGAGATCAAAAGACTAAAAGCTAATGTATATTTTGTAACAATAGAGAGGTAAAGCAATACCATTTTTATTACATGAACCACAAACGTAAATCTATACATTACCGTTTTCGTTCTGTGAACGTGCTACTTTAAAAATGGAGGAAACGTAATTTGTAGGTCTTAAACTGGTTTATTTCTTTTTGCTAGTGGTCTCTGTTTTATTTTCTATTTATGACAAAGTAATAAGAGTGTTTCGACCCTTCCAAGCCGCGGTTTATGTTGCAAGAAGTACTAATACAATAATATTGTATTTAAAAAACTATTAGTATGAACTGTACAGCTGTATCTTCATTCAAAGGTATAAATGTTGTACAAAGACAGGCAGGAAATGTATTGACTAAGGCCACACATATAAGATATGCTTTTATCTCATATTTCCAGGGCACGGTAATAATAACAAAGGTCAAGAAGGATGATGTACATTAGAACTTTCCACAGCGTCCAAATGATGTCACGACAAGATCCAATGAGTTTCAATCAGGGTCCAGATGTCATTCACTAGGGATTTAATTGGACTTTTTGAGATTTGTTGTATATTTTTGGGCTATAAGACGCCACAATATACTGAAATATGTGCTTAAGTTACATGATTGTTTTATGTCACCGTGTAGAGATGGTGACATAATGAAGTTTGTTAGAGTTTATTCGTATATTTAAACTTTTTCTTGGTAAATGCAATACTGCATCAAAACACAAAAAAAACAGATATAGAAATTGTGTTCACAGTTTGAAAATCTGATTTAAAACTCCTTGCAAAATGTAACATAACGTAAAAGAGCACGAAGCGCTATCTATATTGTTCTTGGTAAAAAAGTCATTTACAAAAATAACAATAGAGTTCCTTACTTGTAAGTCACCCTACCCCATCCAGAACAGTATACCAGTAGCCTAATAGTATAAGTGGCGCTACATACTTCTGTGACAATATAACCATTTACTTAATAGATTCCACTAAAAGCAACATTTCACTATCACTCCATGATCTTTTCCGCCCCTTATACCTAACTTCGGGTCTTTGTAGTTTTTCTAACAGAATTGGTGTACCATAAATCCTTTATATCTATTCAGTCCCTTAAGGACAGAACTGTTTAGAAATGAAATGCATTGTCTCAGTAGCATATAAATGATGCAATTGACCAGTTTAGGCCAACATTTGTCAATTAGGCCAAAAGTTGTCAATAAAACTTCGTTTTTACAAGTTTGGATAACCCGTTATAAAACGAAAATGACGTCATTTATATAATGGACGCTGGTTGACAGACATCATAATAAATATGAACTTATGATATACCAAATTAAAGATGAGTATATTCCCTATCCACTGGTATATAATATGACATTTTTTCATCAAGTAAATCAATATCTATTTTTGAAATACGAGTGTGCCATTTTTTGGACCACCCTGTATATAGTATCTTGTGGAAATATGTGCCACAAACAGTGTTTCTATCAAAACTTCTTTATCACCATTAAGGAATGAAGTTGATGTTCTTACATCCAGTATATTTGTGAATTCACTGAACAGGTCATCTCTCACTTTGCTCATATACATGTATGAACAGTCCACTGGCGGATCTTGGGGGGCCTGCCCCCCCCCCCCTTGGGTTGGCCCAGAAAAAAATTGGGCCCCAAAAGATTTTGGGCAAAAAAGGCCTTAATGTCCCAAAAATTGGGCCTTGTAAGGTCTTGTTTTTAATTTCAGGCCAAGTTTTGAAGAAAATGGGCCTCAAAATTTCAAAATGTGGGCCCACTTTTTGGTTTAAGGGGCCCAAATTTTTTCTCTGAGCTGAAATTTACCCCCACCCTCCCTTGTAGGTTCCCAGATCCGCCCCTGCAGTCTATCAAAATATGTTTGGTGGCATCTTTATATTCGCAATTACATACTCTACATATTACGTATGTTTCATCAATCAAGGAAAGATGAAGCAAGTGTGCTATTGACAACGGATAGTCTGGATATTTCTTACTTGATGTGTAATGAATACAGCAGAATAGTCAATACTACTATTTACCCTCAATTTTCATAATCGTTTAGGTATATTTCACCTTTATCAATGAAATTGTCAAAACCTTCCGAAATATATTCATACTTTTAAATTATATGTTTGATATTAGCTAAATCTCCTGGATTCTTCATTACATTGTTTAATAGTGTAACTACTTATTCTGCGCATGAAAAGTTGCTCTTGAACAGATTTATGAGGTGCATCCACCAGTCTCACCAAAAACAAAAACTTAATTTTTCTAAATAATTGTCCATGATTAACAAACAAGTGTTGCGATAGACGCACAGTTTAGCGTACGGTTTGGAAATCCTTGGAATCTTTTGGCAAAGTATCTTTGAACCTTTTCGATTTCCAGTATTTGAGTTTTAGTGAAGTGGCATAATAACTCACATCAATTGAGTGCAGACGGTAAGATGACTCTATTCCAAATAGCAATACACGACGGTGGATTTAATCCACCGGGTCTCATCCCTATGCTACATAGAGATATAGAAATTTTTAGCCTTTTTACAACCATTCTCTAACTGCGTCATTAGATGTGAGTTTGGTAGTAGTTCCTACATGGGAACATACTACTTTGTTAGCTGTGGGAATTTTATGGCGACCTTAAAGCAATCATTGTATTTTTTCACAATATTTTTGTTAAACACTATTGTATAACTTTTGTTGTTTTCTCCAGCATGGTAGAAAAGACGCCATTTTTGACTATTCTTGACATTTGACTTTTTGAGAAATGAATTTTGACAATTTTTTCCAATTTTTTTTCAAAAATCTTTTAAAAAAACTTTTAAATTCGTTAAAAAACATTCAATCTTTACGTGGGGACTTTAAAAGAAATCTTCAAGATCCATGATTATCAATTGATGCTATTTGTTGTTATTTGGCTGTGATAGTGTCGTTCAGATTTACCGGTGGTCCTGCAAAACGCGTAAATTACTTTATGGAACTGTGTTAAGCTTGAACCGCACATACCTTGATTTTTTTAAGTTTTGCCTTATCAGCACAGTTGGACCCAGAAATGGGATGAAAACAGTGCCAGAATTTCGCAGCTCAAAATGTTACTGAAACAAAATAATTTAATGAAGTATACCTCAAGATTCAAGCATTAACAGAACCATAATTGTACGACGTGTAAGAGAATGTATTCGTTTAATTGATAAATAAAACTATATTCAAAGTTCATCCACAACGATATAACTTCAATAAAAGGTTTTATTATTGTGGTATTGTCACACTTCACTGGAATAATGATGCAACTGTACACATAAAGTACACATTACTATGCTATCTTTAACATTTTATAGAACATTATGGCCTATTACATCCAAAAACATTAAACAAATATATTGCTCTACAGACATTAAAAACAGTAAGTCAAGTAATATTTTTTATTAAATTGATCACAGAGAACACTAGCGGAGATCGATATTTCATTTGTAGGTATAAAATTCGATTTTATATTATATCATATCATAATATATGATGATTATATAAAATATCATTCTTTGTATTCTAAAAGTGCAACTAGGAATCTAAATTAAACAATGTTTTACAGTAGATGGTGAAAAGCATTGTTGCTCACAATGTGTAATTTCTACCAACCAATTAAAAGGTTCCTCGTGGAACATTAAATTAACTTGCGTAACTATAACACTGCATTGTTTCAGATAAATTAACAACATAGAAGAAACAGTTCTTCAGGTTAGTTCAATTATTCAATATTATTCAATAAATATTTTAAAGTTATTCAGGTAATCGTAAGACTACTTATTGAAAACATATACATGCACATTGTACTTATAGTGCTCCGTCTCTAAAATACCCCTTTGTATTAAATGTTAAACCCGGAAAGCATTTGTTGTTATACATATAACATCGACAGAAGTATATGTTTAAAATATTACACGAGTCTACCATAGTATTCAATGTAAAGCATTCATCAATTGAATGATAAAGTTACCACCTTATCTTATAAGACATTTGAGCTATACTGATTTGTGAGGTGTGGGTCTGCGCATTATCATTCCTTTAGCACCGACTTAAGTTAATTACAGTAAGGATAACTATGGTACTCTTTGACTTCTTTTCCTAAGTCCTGATACATGCTTGATACCTATTCAAAGACAAAGTTGTTTAAAGTTATTTTGGATAGTGTATGAGTTTACAATTTGAAATGAATTAACAAATGGAACTTTTTTAGGATGCAGACAACCATGACGGTCATTCTTTTGACAGTTACCTTAGCATATATTTCTGAGATAAAAGCTTCATGTCCTGGCTGGTTTAACTATTTCGCTGGTCACTGCTACTTTTACGCAAAAGGTGCAGAGCCCAAATTAACATGGTTCGAGGCAAGTGCGTTATGTGTTTCGAAGGGTGGTTATTTGGTAAACATAGGCTCTTCGGGCGAACAGGCGTATATCGAGATATTAATATATAATACTGCAAAGAAAAAGTTTTGGATAGGTAAGAGTTTATGTCTTAAGTTTAAGTATGATAAAATGACAAGAGACGCTAATTGGACCAGTATTAAGCAATTATTCTTTAGAATCGCATTGTTTTGAAACATCGCTTGAAGTGTTATATTGCAGAATTCACATAGCTTATATAGGGTGTCTCAAAAAATGTACCCAAAAGTATATCAACACCATAGACAAACCAATCAATATTTTCAGACATTATTTGCATGGTCTTGTAGATAAAAGATGAACGTTTTTTCCCCTATACACAGTTTTTAATTCAGTTTTGCCCTTTTGATACTTTAACCTGTTACCTTTTACACCACATATTCAATGTAACCTCATATTTCGATGACAGTCTGCATCCTTGCTACTACATTGTTCACCACATTTGATGTATCTGGTTGAATGTTTTGATTTCTGTTCGGATGCTGGTCTTAAGTTGTTCTAGGTCTCTTAGCTTGGGTTTAGCATAAAAAATGGTCCTTCAAATAGCCTCAGAGAAAAAAGTATTGGCCATCAAATATGGTGAATATGGAGGCCCTCACGATATCTTATAGCCCCCTTATACAGAGAGGTCAGAGGTTCAAGAAACTGCATTGCTTGGGATTCTAATGTAGCTTTTGTTTGTGTATCAATTTGAGACCACTGTGTTTCATTTGGATATGATTTGGTCTCCAGGCTAGTCTGTCTAACTCTGGAGGGTAACTCTTGAATCATTTGACGATAATTGACCTGATTATCTGTGTTTGTTCTGCCATCGTCATCCTCATACATCTTTCTCTTTGGCTATTTGAAGGAGTGTTTAAATGCTCATTCCAAGTATAAAGACCTAGAACAGCTTAAGGGCAACATCCAAAGAGAAATCCAAAACATTCCACCAGAATTATTATCAAATGTGAAGAACAATGTAGCAGTAAGGATACAGGCTGTCATCGAAATATGAGGTTACATCGATTATGTGGTGTAAAAGGTAAAGGGTTAAAGCATCAAAAAGACAAGACTGAAATAAAAATGGTGTATTGGGGAGAAAACTTTCATGTTTTGGCTACATGACCATGCAAAAAATGTCTGAAAATATTGATTGGTTTATGTGTGCTCTTGATATACTTTTGGGTACATTTTTTTGAGACACCCTGTATTTGAAAATATTTACTTGTTTTTTGGCAATATTGGTATGTAGGAGGAAATGATATTGGCCAAAACCAACAATATTGGACAAAGGGAAATGCAGTTGGAACCAAATATTCACCCTGGTATACTAATTGGAATCATGGCCAACCGTCTAGGACATATAAAGGCAAACGAGAAGCATGTATGCTCATTAAGGGTTCAGAGGGCGATCGATGGACTGATGGAATGTGCCACAGTCATTATTCTTACATTTGTGAGCATGACAATGCATCATAATTAAACGTATAATAAAGTATCAGCATCATAACATGGTTTGTACTCTGCTTTTTGTCTCTAGCGGAAAACACAAAGCCATCTCTTCGTAATGCCTTGGTCACATAGGCTCCGATTTTCACTACGGCGCCCGGCCGATGAGTATTTTGTTCAAAATCGGCCGGCGAGCCCGGGCATCGTACAGGCGCCGGGCGATGATCGCCACTCATCGGCCGATTTTTAGACATCGTACGGGCGCCGGCAGAGTTTTATCGCGGAGATAAAAGTTGCCGATATCTTGGCGATTTTTTCTCAACCAAACTCATCGGTACCTACCCGGCCGTGTCCCGTCCGGTCATCGTTCGATTATCTTACGGCGCCCGGTGGCATCGCACGGTCATCTTGCGATTTTGCGTGCTGATTTGTTTGATAAATCTTAAGGTGCCATGGAAGTTAACAGGAAATGACGAAACAAAACCTTTTAAGCCCTTTGAAAGTGTGACTGAAAAAAAGCTAAAAGAAGGAGCTAGGGAAGGTCACTGAACAGAATATTTTGAATATCATTCATAGAAAAAGAAAAAAAAATGAAAAAAACTGATTTGAAAAGCGATCTATTTTCCTTTTTATGACCGCCATTTTAGTTTAAGACAATTTTCTAAAATTTCAAAGATTGTATCAGTTAGAGCTAGGGCTGGCACGGAACGGAACGGAACGGAATTCGGAACTTGGCTTCGGAATTCGGAACTTTCGGAATTTCGGACCTTATCTAAAATAGTTCCTACTTCTCCCCTTAAGTTCTCATTTTTGTTACCATTGGAACAGCAGTGTACAACTATATATATATAAGTTGTATCATGTTTATTAAATACAAACACTAACACTATCTAACTGCCAGAACAAGAGGTATACATGTTCAAAACTAATGGCAAAATGTTAATGTCCTTGCCTTCTTGGCACCTTGGCATACAACTGATGTATATTGTATATTGTCTTTCTTACAATAATTGTCTTTTCTTATGGGTACTGAATATATATATAAAACAATCATACTTTATTTATTTCTATCATTCATTACATATAAAACAACTTTACCAAGTGAAAATGTTTAATAATTATATATATTTATTGATTTTGTTTCATACTAGTTCGCTATAGCGAGTTAGCGTGTCGCTATAACGATAAGTGAATGTTCTTAACGGAAAATAAAAGTTCCGAAAATTATCGGAATATGAGAAGGTAGGTCCGAAAGTCCGTTTCCGAAGGCAAAATCGGACGGTTCGGACAATAATTCCGTTCCGTGCCAGCCCTAGTTAGAGCATTATATTGGGTACATTTTCTGAAAATTTCAAAAGATTCTGTTCAGTGACCTTCCCTAGCTCCTACTTATAGCTTTTTTTCAGTCACACTTTCAAAGGGCTAAAAAGGTTAATGCATCATGTTTAGGGTCATTCTGACCATGCACATTGTGATCCTGGTCATGTAAATGATAGTAAATTGACTGGAGGTCAAACCAGAACTCTGTAATCTTCGTTCAAAAAATGTCACTTCCTATTTCGTCATTTCCTGTTAACTTCCATGGCACCTTAAGTTTGAAAAAGTGTGTAAATGGGTTTTCTTTGAGATAATGAATTGATCGAAAAGATACACCGTCCTGTCTTCATTGTCAGAAAATAGTCATAATCCAAGATATAACCTTCTGAAATTGTTTGCGATAACCTACGTGCTCCTTTTCAAATGGAATCTAATTTTAGGATGCATGCGCAGATAATCAGCGGAGTAGTCATTCTTTTGAGCCTTTTGACAGCTGCGTTGGCATTTGCTACTGAGGCAAAAGCCGGGTGTCCAGGCGGGTTTTCCAACTACGCTGGTCACTACTACTTTTACGCAGATAGTTCTGAGCCCAAATTAACATGGTTCGACGCAAGTGCGTTATGTGTTTCGAAGGGTGCTTATTTAGTAAACATAGGCTCTCGTGGTGAACAGGCGGATATCGAGAGATTGGTACATAATACTACAAGAGAAAACTTTTGGATAGGTGAGAGAAGTTTAAGTTTAAATACGATAAAACGTCGAGAGGTGGATACACATTTTTCTTTAAAGTGGCATCGTTTTGAAACATAACTTGAACTGAAATATTGCGGAATTGACATACCTTTATATTTCAAGATGTTTTATCTAATTGTTTACGTTGTCGATATTGGTAGTAGGAAACTCTATTGGCCAAAACCAACAATATTGGACCAAGGGAAATGCAGTTCGCAGTACTGACGGGTATACTAATTGGAAAACTGGTGAACCGTCTAGACTTCATAGAGGCAACCGGGAACCATGCATGTGTATTTGGGGCGATTGGGGTCATCGATGGAATGATCTAGACTGCTTTGCTCGTATTTTTTACATTTGTGAGCATGATAATTCGCAATAGTGAAATGCACACTAGAAATGAAATAATATATCAGCATCATAACATGACGTAAACTTTGCTTTTCGTTTTGAGAACCATGAACATGCAACATCATTGAAGCGATCGGTTGATAGTGTTTGAGGAAATGTCCATATTAATCATACGGTACATTTCACACTACATGTTACAGAAAACATTGAATTAAGAAATATAGACCGAAAAGCAGGGTAATATTGTTGAATACACCCCGCAGGGCTAGGCACAAACGTTAGAAAGTTTTTGTGCCTAGCCCTAAGGGGTGTATTCGACGATATCACCCCTGCTCTGAGGTCTATATTACGATTCGAACATGAAAACTCACCAAAATGTTTCGATGGTCCGCCATTACTACGACCCACCGTTATGACGTCACACTTTACACGTATTACCAGGGGTATTGATCGCGAATATACCCCGGGTGGAATGTTGACTTTGTTTACAGTTTATAGAAGGCGTGAATACAGTCATGTTCGAATTGTTTTTATCGCCTGTGTTTTAATACACTTAGATGACGACCTAATTCGTCATAAAATTCAGGGTCATTTAGATTTTCCTCCTTTTAAAACACGTATGGCCAGGGCAGAGCTACATTAGTTGTACAATATGCTTCGTTGATTACTTGCGCAAGGATGTAACAGTTATTACGCAAATACGCACACGCACAGGTACATACTTAATTAATTGATGATGAAATAAAAAATAAGTTTATTATTTGAATGAAAGTTGTTTTCAAATATTCCCACAAACATGTTACATGAAGCATGAATATTGTGTCAAGTCGATTTATTTACAAAATGATTAATTTACAAACTAAGTTATTTACAAAATAAGTTTGACAATCAGAAGTCACATTTTGATTTAGCCTGTTAACGATTGGCGATTTTAAAAAGTCATCATTTACCATAAATACCCAAACTAATGAAAGTAAGGTAGAAAATTAAGTTTCAAACATTGACCTGCTTCATATGCTTTAAACGCCATGTTACCAAATCAACGGATGAGAGTGAAAAGTGTACCCGATGTATGGTTCCATTTGCATTGATTCATATCTGAACATGTGGATCTCGTGCTTCGCAAGATAATAAGAAACCTCGTGATGAATCCCTTGAAGTGATTTATATTAATGTTTAACCAGATATCACAGGATAACAAAGATCTATTAACAGAGTCCAATTGTATGAAATGGGGAACTGATAACGGTGTAATAACAATGAGATTCAAGTCAAGTATGATGTGTAAATTTCAACATTACTTGATTTAATTCTGAAGAGGTATTGGGATATTTCTGCATCAAAAATAAAACTGAAGGAAAGCGGAAGTCGTATCCTGATTGATGCAATTTACGGCATGTTATGGCATTCCATTATAAATAATTAGAAAAAACGTACACTTTATGAAATCCGCACTCTCATTTTTCGTACCTACAGTATTTGACTTTAACACGTGCAAACAAGGTTTTACCAAATTACAAACTAAAAGTGAGGTCTCGTAAATAAAATATTGAATTGAGGGACGCAGTGATGTCAAATGACAAACGCCCGATACTCCCCGAGGCGGTGCTTCCGGGTGAGAGTATTGTTCCCACAAATACGCTACCCAAAACAGATGGTCCACAACATAACCCTAACAATAATGCTGACGACGATGAAAGTTTTCCTGAACTGAATAAAATCCCGGGAGATAATCTAAAGGTACGTCTTATAACAGTTTCTTAAAAATGAAAATAAACATTTAATTCTTAAACGAGAGGAAAGTACACGAATAAGTATTTAACTTCACAGTGAAAATGCATCATGGTCCATCAGTATTTACTAAAACTAAATGATCACAGGTTTATTTTTACGGGTAATAATGTTTTGTTGTACAGTTTCAGAAGTTCAATTCAGTAGTTATTATATTTCGTAAAAAGTCTTTATCCTGTAATGTTTATTTACGCTCGAAATCAGGAAATGGTGAATTCTTATCATTGAATTCTTGTTTCCGAGCAACTTTATGCATGCAATTAAAACTATATAGTCTTACAACTGTAAAATGGTATATCACTTTTCCAGTTCAGCAAGACCAATGGGCTCACCGTTTTAACTACGGCAGTTTTTATAGTTGGAGAAATGGCCGGAAGTGGCATCCTTGCTTTACCAGATGCGGTAAAAAATACAGGTGAGTCTGGGATGGTGCCCGATAGTACAGTTTCCATATAAGAAAATATATTTGAAATCTCGCTTAATCTCGTTTTTCGTGGAATTCTGAGAGATCTGTTCATTAGATCTTTAATACCTTACTTTCCCTTCTTTTAAACGGCCCATCTAAATTCAGCTTTTTTTCTTCAAAATAACTTTCATTTATGCAGTTATGCTACTTTAATCATTTTCCCTGACTTTCTTTCTCAACTTTTCTAAAAAAAACTGCAAATCGCAATTGATGCAATGTTCAATTATCTAAAAACCTAGGTTTATTAGTTCAACAATCCAAATTTGATGATTAATCACAATACATTAACAGGATCATCACATGGTACACCATATAAGTTTTAGTCACATTCAACCAATAATTTTTGATAAATCATGAAATTAAGTCACTATTCCAAGATCTTAAGACAACAGTCCATGACAGTCTGGCCCAAATAAAAAGCTGATAAAGGCTTGCAGCACTAGTATTTTTGTTTATTTGATATTATAGAATGGTTATTATCAACGGTTACTAATAAACAAATGTAATAAACAATGTCATGTATTGCTAAGATGTAATTCTGATTAGGGTGTCATCCACTTGAAAATGTATTATTCTAATCGTATCTTCTAACCTTATTGGAAATAAACAAATGACATAACATAAAAAAGAAATAGGATTTTGCCATTATTTGAAAAACTTGTTTTTTCCTGCCTGGAATTGGAATTGGAATTTTTCATGTTTACTCTATTTTGCTAAAAATGTTTGACAACGGTTAGTACATAAGTGGTTTTGAAAATTCACGAACAGCAATTATATATAATCAAGCTCTGAATAAAAGTTTACTATGTGTACCTTGTTCTTTTAGGGTGGATTGGTATTGTGCTTATATTGGCGTGTGGCCTGGGAGCAGGGTTCACAGGGGTCAGACTAGGCCAATGTTGGGTCATAGTACAGAGTCGATATACAGAATACCAGGGGCACGTACGATATCCTTACCCGGCTATCGGCTACAAATGTTTTGGAAACTATGGACGTTATCCGGTCTCTTTTTGTATTAACTTTACCCTGTTTGGTGTTTCGACGGTGTTCCTGTTGCTGGCCGCCCAGAATATTCAGTCACTCATTTTCTCATGGACGGGCACGCATTTCTCCTATTGCATCCTGTTGATTATACTAGCTGCAATTTTACTCCCATTGTCATGGTTAGGAACGCCAAATGACTTCTGGTAAGAGAAGGGGCCCGGATATGCGGAAATGTATTAAATGGCATTTCTTATAAGTTATATCCCTTTTAGATTTTTATCTCCATCCATGTTTAAGTAAGTTCAAATGCACAATATGTACTTAACAATTGATATTATACTGCATCACTGCATATAACCGACTCATCACTACACTATCTAGGACATATTTTTGATTTTTAACATATGAGTATGTTATCATATGTTTAGCATTTAAGTACATGTAGGTGGTGGAGCTGCCAGTCATGTCGGTTACCCCCTCCCCTACATTTAAGACACAGTAGTACACATATACAACAAGGGGTAAAGCGGTTGCGAGCTTTCATTGCTGAAATTTGAAACTTTATAATGAAAGTGGCTATGCTAATCTAAATGAAGGCCCTATTAAGCAATTTTTGTTTTAGGTTCGTTGGCGTCGGGGCGATGGCTGCTACAGCAGTCGCTTGTCTACTTCTATTCATTGGAAACCTTCTAGAATCCCGTGGTGTAGATATTAGTACTGTTAAACACACACGTCCGACATTTCAATCTTTCTTCCTCGGTTTTGGCGCCATTTTGTTTTCATTTGGCGGGCATGCGGCATATCCCACAATACAACACGATATGGTTGAGCCACAGAAGTTTCCCAAAGCGATATTGATAGCATATTCAAGTAAGGAATAATGTAATATTGGATGTTATATGTCAGTCTAAGAATGAGATACATAGCCGTACTTTCCAATTGATCTGATGGCTCGTCCAAAACACTTAATGGCAGATCTACACTGTCTCTGCAAATCTCGTTTGAATGTTGTACATGCATTCCCGTGCAAACTGAATTGTCTAAAAATCAAAATTAATTACTTAAATCCCTTGTAAGAATAACACACTAGGCCTGCACAATAATTATCATATTGTTCACTTTGTGGCTTGTTGCTAGTAAAGACGGTTGGTTTGGAATCTAAATAAAATCAGAATAAATTACTGTGAAAGGTTCATGGTAAAATGGAAATCTTAACGACTTCGTATAGATACTTCACTGCTTCTTTGTACACACCGGTAGCAAAATGCACTTACTTTTCAGCTATCATGTGTATGTACATTCCCGTCTCTTCATCCGGGTATTTCATATACTTTTCAGCTATCATGTGTATGTACATTCCTGTCTCTTCATCCGGGTATTTCATATATTTCGTATACTTTTCAGCTATCATGTGTATGTACATTCCTGTCTCTTCATCCGGGTATTTCATATACTTTTCAGCTATCATGTGTATGTACATTCCTGTCTCTTCATCCGGGTATTTCATCTTCGGAGACAACTTACAGACCAACGTTTTACAGAATCTAAACACACAGCCGGTTATCCGACAAATTGTGGAAGTCCTCATCATATTGCACCTTATGCTCGGGTTTATTATCGTCATCAATCCCCTCAGCCAAGAAGTAGAAGAACTCTTCAAGATTCCACATTGTAAGTTTCAGGGCCAACGTGCAGTCCAATCGTAACGCTTTTTATTAACATTGAATAAATGGATTCTATTCAGTTTTCAATAATGTATTTTTGATTCTTTCAAATGGGGTGAAATCTAATGTACTAATATATGCACCTTTTGCGTATAAAAGGTGGTAGTAACCATTACATAAAAAGTACCATCCTGATATCGGAGACTAGCCTGTAATCATCAAAATAAACCTCCTCTTTTTGATATTTTTACATCTAAATGCAGCAATCCTTTGCAATATAAAATAATTGCTGAAATAGTTTAAAGATTGATTAAATTCACCCAGGTCATTCATTGCAATGGGATACAAGTAACCAATCGTTTTTCTTCTTTTCAGCGTTCAACTGGAAGCGGTGCCTTCTCAGATCTGGGATTGTTTGTCTCGTACTCTTTGTTGGCGAGTCAATACCTCATTTTGGTGTAATTCTCAATCTCATTGGTGGCTCTAGTACGACATTTCTAGTATTCGTCTTTCCGTCAATATTTTATCTGAAGCTGTGTAGCATGAAGGGAGACTGGGATGAAATGTAAGTATGGCTGTACAGTATACAATTGTTGACCTCTGGAGAAATAAAATAAAAATATTTTTAAATAAAGATGGCATGGCAGTCTCTGTGTTTATTTATTCTTCTCAATATCGATCACTACTGCCATCTTTATATCTGCTTAAAAACCTTTCTCCCTGAAACCCTAAGCTTATTAAAGAGATTAAGCTTGCATATAAAGTTGAAACGCCAACCTATATACGTATGACCAATCGCCCATACAAATGCATAGCTTAAATATTTTCCCTTCACGTTTAGGTTGTGAAAGACATTGCAAGCTTAAACTGCTTAAACTCCCCAATGTGACATTTGAACGGCGCTAGGATTTGTCTAAAGTGTTTGCATTGCTTAGTTTTAGAGGCTTTTAGAGGAAATATGTTCATATTGAGATGTATTCGGATGTAAAGGTTCTACTGGATAGTATGCTGCTCAGATTAAAATGATATATCAACCGTGCGTCCCAAGATAACAAAGTACACGATATATAAGTTATTGAGTGATTTGAAGTGCGATACAGGATATATTCTGCTCAAGAAATTCCGTATTGGAACGAGACCAAGTTGCAGAGTTGCACTTCAAATCATTCATAACGTTTTTATCGTGTGACCCCCTGTATTGCTACTGAGAATGCATGTCTCCTCCGTACTAATATCTTCTGTATTGCGACGGAGATGATCAATGGGGACAATCTCAGTAGCAATTCAGATTTGTACAGCACAAGAACTGACCAATCAGAAGGCTTCATTTTAGACATCATACGATAGTACATCTTAGTACAATACTTGTAATATTATCAAGCCTTTTGATTCGAAAATGACGATAAACTGATAAAAGTCTGAGTTTAATGAACTTAAAGGTCACATTTCATTTTTTCAGAGAAGTTGAGCTGTGGGAAAAAGTTCTTTTAATTATATTATGCTCAATAGGCGTAGTTGGTGGCGTCGCTTCAACAGTATCAACAATACAATCAATGGTGGACCCGAAAACATTTGTACCACCGTGTTACGTTAATGGTGGTGTCTAGTTGAATGATACACCACCATGTTACGTCTGTACAACCTGGATACGTAAATGGTGGTGTTGTGGAATGCACTCCCGAAGTGTGGAAATGTGTGTTACGTTCACTGTGGCATTGAGAGTTCATTTTACATCTTCACCACCATGTAACTTTAATGATAGTGCCGTTTGTACATCCTAACCACCGTCAGACCGCAACAAAAGGGACATTAAACTTGCATATAAAATCGAAAGGCGAACTTATACGAATGACCAGTCGCCTATACAAATGCATCGCTAAAATATTTTCCGTTCACGTTTAGGTTGTGAAAAGCATTGCAAGCTTAAACCATCCTTCATTCAATAGACTTCATTTATTACTCAATTCAATATGAAAAGAAGTGAAATACCCTTGGACGAAGGATGGCTTAAACTCCCCATTAACTGCTTTATGTGCAACACATTGTTACGGTAAAGGAGAAGACACACTGTGTAAAGGTACGTTCACACCAACGGCGAATGCCACGCTTTAAATCGGCGAGCAAAGCGCCGTCATTTTTGTCATTTTTCTTCATACCAACGGCGCTTTGATGGCGCTTTAAAGCGGCTTGTAAAATGGCACCAAAGCGTAACAAAGTTTGATTAAAGCGTCGGGGTCGTAATAGGTCGTAGAAAAGCTCAGAGTAAAACGGGATATTCGGCAAGAGCGCCAAAAAATTTTAAACTCTTAAAAAATTTTGGGCGCTCTGTTACGAATCGATTAAGCGCCGAGAGCGTATCAAAGCTTAACAAACCGTAACAAAGCTCAGAAAAACTTGATCCAAAGCGTAGGAAAGCTTAACATAGCTCTAAAAGGTTCCTCACGCTTTGATCCCGCTTTGATCAGGCTTTGTTACGCTTGAAATCACGCTTTGAAAAGCTTTGATAAGCATTATTACGCTTTGATGCGATTATGACGCTTTAAATCAGGCTCTGATACGATTGCAAAACTCTGTTGTGCATTGTTACGCTCTGTTAAGCTCTGTCACGCATTGGAAAATGTCGAGATCGCCGATTCCATGCCACTTTTGATCCAATGACTATATAAAGATGCAGTAGATCCATAAAACCATTGCATCTTTGACTCGAGAACACGATGGCAGAACAACGAGATCCAGAAATTCCAGATGGACCAGAGCATGACCTATCTGAAGAAGACATGACGTTTGTCGCACGGCGTGATATAGCGTGTGAAAACTTTCAAGCGTAACAAAGTCTAGGAAAGCGTTTCAATCCTTGATTAAAGCGTCTCAATTCGTTGGAAAGCTTGAGAGTCCCTCAGGAAAGTGTAACAAAGAGTGTCAGATATTGATGAAAGCGTCTGACCTCGTGTCAGATCTTCATGCCAGATCGTAGCAAATCTTGAGACATCTTAACGAAGCGTGTCAAGTGGTAACAGACCGTGAATAGACTGGGGTCCCCGCTTTGAACCAAGCTGTGTTAAGCTATCCTACGCTTTGAGTCAAGCTTTGTTGAGCTTTGTTACGGTTTGTTAAGCTTTGATACGCTCTCGGCGCTTCAATCAATTCGTAACAGAGCGCCCAAAATTTTTAAACAGTTTAACATTTTTTGGCGCTCTTGCCGAATATCCCGCTTTACTCCGAACTTTTCTACGACCTATTACGATCCCGACGCTTTAATCAAGCTTTGTTACGCTTTGGTGCCGCTTTACAATCCGCTTTAAAGCGCCATCAAATCGCCGTTGGTGAAAACGCTTAAACAGTTTAAATTTTTTAGCGCTCTTGCCGAATATCCCGCTTTACTTCCGAGCTTTTCTACGACCTATTACGACCCCGACGCTTTAATTAAGCTTTGTTACGCTTTGGTGCCGCTTTACAAGCCGCTTTAAAGCGCCATCAAAGCGCCGTTGGTGTGAACGTACCATAAGTAATTAACGGTCAGATCATAGACATAAGGCAATTCACACATATAAAGCAAACATGCTTATTCTGCAATGCAATAGAGCCAATAGATGGATATTATCCATGTTAAAGAGTCAATAAAGTTATTCAGAAGCAATGTTACTGGTTTTATATGCTGTTGTTAGTACTTGAAAGTTGTCTAAATGACACCTGTGACCATGGCACGCGCAGAGATAAGTTGTGATATTACTCTTTAACTCAAGGGTTTGTGGTACATCAGTCATTATATAACCTCTCTGCCCTGGCTAAATGTTTATCTATTTTAATGTATCAGATTGTATGATAATGCGAGTTTTGCATACATGAAGTGATACAAGTTTCGCATGAGGCAGATTTCGTATTATTAGGCTTGAGTGTCGGGGTCCGCGCATTATACCGAAACCCATTATACCGACGTGCATTGTACCGACGCGCATTGTACCGAAAGGCGTTATACCGAATGCCATAATCACTGTTCCACTAGTTACTTTGAGGGAACGTCAATGTAACAAAATGGATGAACTTCCTGGTTACGTTTTTTTGCTTTCTCGATTTAAACCTGCCCCAAAGCTAGAAAATATAGCTTAGTTTTAATAAGTTTCTTCGATTTGGAGTTTGTTTTGTAAATGAAGCTGTAATTCATATACTAAGCCCCTTGCTTTTGTTACATCGACGAAAGCCTGTTATATTACCAATGTATGTTACTTTGTCAATGGAGATTTAGCCCGACCATTTTTAGAAAACTTGAAAATCTCTAGAATTTGAATAAAGGTAAATAACGGTGTAAAAACTAAGTTGTTTTGATTGAAAATTACACACAGAATTCAAATAGAAGAAAATGAAATGTTAGTCTTTATAGTGGTTAAAGATACGGATCTCCTAAAATCTCATTAAAACGAGACCTTAACGAGACTTCAAAGCTATATGGAAAAGCCACTATTAGATAGATGCCTTCACTAGGCTATTCTCTTTACTCACTAGGCTATTCTCTTTACTTGTGTCCGTGCCTCATTTTGAGTAGCGAGTGTAAATTATTTTCGGAAACATGATTATGTTTTCCCTGTAATAATATGAATTGGAGATATCTGACAAATATGGATAGCCTAAAATATAAATTTTGTGTTTTTGAACATGCGGAAATATCTTGAACACTTTGAAACTGAAGTACAGTTCCTTAATAGGTCGTTCAGTTTTCTTGTTTTTGTTCTACACAGCACTTGTGTTTAATAGCCACGCGTAATTATTAATAAGCGTAATCAGATTATTTCAAGCGTCGAAATAGCTTATTTTCCTCGACGTTTCTACACAAACCTATTCACTTACCGTTATAGTGAGCGATCTAGATGCGTCAATTATAATTGTTTTCACTCATCGGCTTTAGTGGCCCGCGATACCTTTTATTTCATACATTCGAGACGCAATTGATATATTGGCAACAAATCAAATGTTCTAAATGATTCTTCTTCATTTTGGAATGTTTCTCCTACACGATATTCAAAGGTGTGTCTTAAATATTATACTTTACATTGATAACGATTCTTGTACTTTCTGTCTTTACGACTCCCGTTCACATTTGCAAGAGTTGTTGATTGCATTGCCTTAATCGCTGGTCGAACTTCGATTCCAACTAAATCAGATTAATCAATTAAGAAATGTAATATCATGTTTATCCAAGCAAATAATTGTAACAACTACATTATTTTTTAGCAGTTTTGACACCTAAGCAGGGTAGCCTAGTGGCGTAGACTGAGGCTACTTTGCGGTTGAACGTCGTGGGATACGGAGGTCCCGCGTTCGAGCCCCAGGTACGGAGTTGTTGATCATTGTCACTACGGACACCCGGTCCGAAGGTCCAACCGTTTACCGGCCCTTGGCATGGGTTGGTTCTCTGGCCGCTCTTGCCGGAGACAGATTGTGAGACTGTGGTTGGTTCCTCCACTAACGTGCTTTAGTAAACTCCGGGAGTCATATAGTATGGTAGCGGGCCCCCACCAAGGGCAGTAGTGGAACGACGCGAATCGGTCCCAGTATGGTTGCCTTGCAACTGAAGAGACTCGAGGAAATCATGCCATTCGCAGTGACCCAGAAAAGACTTTTGCTTCTTAATTTGACGTTTTATTTACATACTTTATTCATATTACTTTCCAGGCAGTTATGATTTTTATTGGTCAAATGAATGAACGAGATATATAGATACTATTAAATACATCTAGATAGTATCAAAACCATAATTCGATTTGTCGGACATACAGTATATAAAATAACACTTAAAAACACAACACACATAGCTGCAATATCCGTAGCATTTGGCACTATCGGTTCCCACGCTCTATCATTTTGTGTGGTCATCATAAGATAAAGAGGTACGGTTGATTGGACCATGGGCTTTCAACAGAGTCAAGAAATTGGCATGGATACTTTGAGAAATGAGGTAGCAACAAAAGGAAACACCGGAAATAATCCAGAAATGTCCACACCATTGTTTTCGTTAGTTATGGCAAGGCCCCGGAGGAAAAACAGCATTCGTGGGTAGCTTAATTTTTGCACCAATTAGAGCCATGACTTAAACTCAACCAAGAACGGTGGAGCAAAGTCACTATGGGTCCCAATTGAGAATCAATTCAAATCAAAATCAAATTGAGAATCAGATGACCTGCTAAGTCTAGTATTAATTTGCCCCTAAATAGCTATTAAAGGGGCGATGAATATTGGACTTAGTAATGAGCACCATTTTAAACTGCCAATTAAAACATGTATTCAATGTTTCAAAATAATGAAACTGAAATATTGGGCAAAATAATTGATATTTCGTTTGTGGAATGTTGCCAATTTAGAAGTATTATATGAAAAGAAAGGTTTGTGAAATGGTTAGAAAATGAAATAACTTCAGAATTAATGGGATCATTGAGGCACACATTGATAAAAATCACACTTGGATTTGGAAAGATTTAAAGTAATACAAATGAATGCGTTTCTTACTATCTCCATGACAACATATCTTTCTCTCTCTCCATGACAACAATTTTTGGCCCCATCAGCACAAGATCGAAAATACAGTAATTATCAAGTTCAATAAGAAATGTGAAACTTTATATTTAATAGCACAATTTTTTATTTCTACCAATGAAACAATACCGTATAAATAAATGTTTGCTTCATTGAATACAGAATTTACAACGGTTAAATATATTTTATGAAGTGCAGGGTTTACCATAATCAAACATAAATAACAGAATTATGACTTTATCCTCTATGAAATACATAAATTGATGGTTAACTGGAATTCAGTTTGTTGAGACGACCCCTCAATCCGAAATGCCTTTATCTTAAGCTTTATCTAAAAATATGTTCTCGCGCGATGAACTTTTAATTGAATATGAATTTATAAACAACAGATTGACATCCAGTCTCATATTAAAAAGTTTAAAGTCAAAACATTGTGGAAGTAAATAAAAATGAATTTTAATTTTCAAGCATGTATAATTTGAACCAATGTGTATGATAAAGTAATATATAAACTATATATTTTATATGCTGGTACAGTAGAATTTATCTTGGCTTTTCAACATAGCACCATAGTTGAATTTTCAGGCTCCACTTTTATTATTCTATGCCTATATAATCTTCATGTGCACTGTCATACATGTACATAATCATGTGTCTACATGACGTTTTGAAGTATAGAGCTAGATTCAAAGCACCGTTCTTGCGAGTTTCAAACGAAAATATTGAAAATGCATGTATTGAGGACTGCAACTTTTTATGTCTACACTGACAAAAACTTGAAATTCTCGCTGTAAAGATAGTCCCACGCGGAAGTGCACGTGAGAGTGACGGATATATCCGTCACAAATGAAATAAGACTGGTGCCCAGAGGGACGAGAAAATCCGTCACAAAATTTTTCACAAAAATTGCTCTCATTTGAACAATTTTCATCCAATTTACACAAAAATTGTTTTAAAACGTGTAGAATTGATCTCTGCCGTCCAATTTTACTAAGCTGAGCATCTAAAGTTGTATAGGTATGTAATAAAATGTCAAAAGGTGGCAAAAAATGAAAAATTCTCTGGTTTCATGCCAATTTTAGAGCCTGGGATTCAAGAGGTTAAGGTAATGTGCCGTCCCACTGGCACGGATTTCGGTACAACTTGTATCGGTAGGCCTTTTCGGCACAATGTGCGTCGGTATAATGGGTTTTGGTATAATACGCGTCGGTATAATGAGGTGATCCCGAGTGTCGCATCATATGGTTCGACTTTTCATATGGATAATACATTGTCCAACCTTGATACAGAATAAATTCCATGGCAAATCTTTTAATTCAAAACAAGTATTCAGTCATTCTAATACGAGAATTCCTATGTTATACCCTGTATACATCTTTAAGCCACGCTATTGTAGTTCCGATGGGTTAATGTTTAACCGTGTATCACAGGATAACAATGACAAAAAAAACAGAGTCCATTTGTCTAAAACGGAGAGCTGATAACAGAAGCGACTCAAGTATGATTTGTAAATTTTAACATTACACGATTTAAAACTGATGAGACGTTGGCAGATTTCTGTATCATTAGGACTGTCAAAACGCGAAAGTCATTTCAAGGTTCACGTTAAGTTTACAGCATGTTATGGTATTCCGAGTCATGTAATTCATAATTTGGAATTTCATCACTGATAATTAGTTGAAAACACGTACGATTTATTACATTGCGCATTCTCCATTGTCGTATCTAATTGAATATTAAGCACGTGCAAAATAATATTTTACCATATGACAAACTAAAGCGAACGCCTCGTAAAATAAAGTATTGAATTGAGGCACGCTGATATGTCAAATGATAGACGCCCGATACTCGGAGAGGCTGTAGTTGCAGGTGAGAGTAGTGTCCCTACTTATACAATACCCAACACAGATGGTCCACAGCACAACCCTTACAATAATGCTGACGACGACGATGAAATATTTCCTGAACTTATCAAAAACCCGGGAGATAATATAAAGGTACGTTCAGTTATTGTTTCTTATAGATGAACATATAATTCATAAATGAGTAGAAGGTTAATGAATATACACAAATAAGTATTTAACTTCACGGCAAGGAGGATTGGCTCCCAGAATGCAACACCGATATTCTGCAAAACAATCACCTAGCGATAGCTTTGTTGGAGAGTATCGGGTCATTCTCCATGCAGTCGTACAAATTATACAGACACGAATAGCAAATGACGCATGCGTGGAGATTAAAGAATATCGAGTTGGAACCCTGGCTTCCAATCCTCCTTGACTTCACGGTGAAAATGCATTGAGTCTTATGCATATCAGTACAATCTCAAATTATATCATCGACTAGTATTTTATTTGTACGGGTATCAAATTCAATACTTTGTTGGACAGTTTTTGCTCATCAATTCTTGAGTAACTATGTTTTGAGAAACGTACGTGTCTGTGTATCCCGTGATGTTTATTCATGCTCGAAATCATTTAAATCGTAAATCAGAATTTTACTCGAGGATTGTACAATCAAAAAGTCATTGTTTTCTGACAACCGAATGCATCAGAAGTGGTGAATTCTTATCAATTGTGTCTGAGCTATTTTATACATGAACATTGACCTACATTGTCTTTAAAATGGTATATCACTCTTTCAGTTCAGCAAGACAAATGGACTTACCGTCTTAACTACGGCAGTTTTTATAGTGGGAGAAACGGCCGGAAGTGGCATCCTTGCCTTACCAGATGCGGTCAAAAATACAGGTGAGTTGTAGATTGTATCCAACAATGAAGCTTCTATCTCTTTTTTACTGAATCCCTGATTCTGTTATTTTTTGCACATCTTGAAATATGAATGTTAAGACAAAAACAAGTTGAACTTGAAATTTTTGTTTATTCAATTACGCGCTCCATTTGATTTCAATGGGTTTTAGCGATACCTGCTATCTTTGAAAGTGCATAAGTTCAGTTCTAGAAAAGGTAACAGATTATTAATTTAGGAAATATAGCAGTTTCGGGACAAAAGAAATATTTTGAAATAAAATTTAAAAAAATTATGAAATGTCAAACATTTTCCCCAACCAGGTCACGTTGACCTCAGTTTGACCTTTCTTGACCTACTTTTTGAAAAACCACTACACTTCTGAAGAGTTAATTGAATAAGGTCTACAACAATGCCGTTGAAATCGCAAAAGTTGAAAAAACGAAGACGGGAGGGGGGTAAATTACCCCCTTCATTGTTAATCTTGACTATTCTTGCCCAGTGACTCTCACAAAAGTTTGTTCTGTTCGTTTCGTTGATTTTTTAACATTTACTGATGGTAAATTGGTGTCTAAAAACATAAGCACCTACTGTTCACAATCAAGCTTGAAATATGTGAATCCCTATTCAGTGCGTCTAAAAAAACGCAACAGACAAAAACATTGTAATAACTCAAAACAAGTGATAATAATATCAATTTCATCAAATCTACCATGAAGCCACACTTTTCCTCTTTCCAATGATATGTGATTTGTTCATATCCGATCATGGACCACTGAATAATCATTGTTTCTTCGCACATTGGTAAATTGCCAAGTTATGAAATATCCCGGTGAAATATCCTACATGTAAATCAACTTATCCTTATAAAGCATTATGTAATGGGGCTGAGGATTAACTTTTAGTCACAAGACTTAACAGCATACATTCCAGACTTAGTTCAGCTTAGAAAAAACTATTTTACTTTATATTATGTGCTCATCAGTATTCATGATAGTTTAGTTAACATCACGTCACACATGCAAAAAGTGGCATTATTAAAAGTAAGGCCATTGTCATTATCTGTCGTATAATGAAACATTACTCTTGCAAGATTACATTCCATGCCCATCATTCCTCTGCAAATATATATTAGCTCCTCTCTCCATGTCATGCACATCTTTTTGAATCATTTGTGGGTTCTGGCAGAGAGCAGCAACCTCAATGGTGATTCTCCGTCGTAGTGTGAAATGTCTAAAACTTGGTCCAGAGCAGATATTGGACCATTGTGCAAAATGAATGATTATTCGGTGGTCCATGGTCACATATGACAAATAACATATCATTGGAAAGAGGAGATAAACTAAATGGAATTGATGTTGTTATTACTGATTTCGTGATTTTGCAATGTTTTTGTTTGTTGCGTTTTTTGAGACACACTGTACTATTGCAATGCTTCATTTCATTATTTAGGTTGGATTGGTATTGTGTTAATATTTGCTCTTGGCCTGGGAGCAGGGTTCACAGGAGTCAGACTTGGCAAATGCTGGGTCATAGTTCAAAGTAGATATACAGAATACCAGGGACACATACGATATCCATACCCGGCTATCGGTTACAAATGTTTTGGGAACTATGGACGTTATCCCGTCTCTTTCTGTATCAATTTCACCATGTTTGGCGGAGCGACGGTTTTCTTACTGCTAGCCGCACAGAATATCCAGTCGCTCATTTTAGCATGGAGTGGGACAGACTTTTCCTACTGCATCCTGCTAATCATTCTAGCTGCGGTTTTACTTCCATTGTCATGGCTAGGAACGCCCAATGACTTCTGGTAAGACCGGACATCTTTTTCAGCAAGTTTTTTCATATGTACGAGTATAGTCCGTTCAAAAACTTAATACTTGATATTGCAAACACTAAAACTTAACAACTCTATGCACTATCCAAGCTCCAGGCCTGGACAAAAAATACAGCCCTTTATGACATAAGCATATCAAATTGATGTCCACATTTTGAAGCTTTTTGGCGTGATTTTGTCATACATACAGTTTCCATTGTAGTATGTGAGGCATATTTCTTTATACGTATATCTGGTAGAGCAAGTGTGGAGCTTGTACTTATGCCAGGTTTTCAAACAACAGCAATTAGTTTTAGTTAATCGTGAGATAAAGGTCAATGTATACTTTCGGCAATTTATGATGTAATCTTCACATGATAAAATATGAACCCCTGCTTCCCAGCATTGCTTACATCTTTTAGTTTTGCACAAAAAGTATGTACTTGTACCCAGAAACCGAGTATAGAAGACAATACAGAAAAATGTATGCCAAATGAGCCAATTCATTGACCTACTTTCTTGTATTTGAATTTTTCTCGTTTTCTATGTAAAGGAGCATGTGGGTTATCGCAAACAATTTCAGAAGGTTATATCTTGGATTATGACTATTTTCTGACAATGAAGACAAGTTCATATTTTAGATCAATTCATTATCTCAAAGAAAATTATGCACAGTAATAATAAATACAAACAAACTCGGAGATATTTAACTAGCAATTAACCCATCAACACACTTTTTCAAAGATGTTGACCCCATTTTCACCAAAATGCAATCATTTTTTACAATGTTTAATGCATTACTATTCTTTATTTTGATGCATCATTATATAGTTCTTGAAAGAAAAACTTAATTGCATTAAGATAAGTGTTCCCCGTGTTATTTCTCCATTGAAAAATCTCATGCTATCCCTTGGTTTCAGTTCATTTTGGTCATCCAAATTGAATATCTTTAAAGTCCCTGGAGCAATCAAATTTTCTTTTTAGGAAATCAAACATGTCTCAAAGCACATTCTAATTATGCATTCAACAATATAATAATAGGTTGCATTTTTGGTGAAAATTAGGTCAACATTTTTGAAAAAGTATGTTGATTGGTCCATTGCCCCTTCAATATCACTTCTAGGTCTGATTAACTAAATTATCATTATACTAGTATATACTTTTCTTGAAGATAATGAATGGATCTAAAAGATACACCCATGTTCATGATCAGAAAATATTCATTATTCAAGTTAGAATCGTTTGAAATTGTTTGCGATAACCTACGTGTTCCTTAGTGAACTGTTACCTTGATCTACAGGTTGAGAGTTAAAGTCTACTGAACCTTGAAATAAAGAGTAGGAGGAACATGAGCAAAAGCATCAAAATGGCTAGGCCCTATACGTTAATCTGCATGAAGGCACACACATTTTTGTTGTAGGTTCGTTGGTGTCGGTGCGATGGCTGCTACAGCGGTTGCATGTCTTCTCCTGTTCACCGGGACCCTTCTAGAATCCCGTGGTGTAGATATCAATGCCGTTGAACACACAAATCCAACATTTCAATCCTTCTTCCTCGGTTTTGGCGCCATTTTGTTCTCATTTGGCGGGCATGCGGCATATCCCACAATACAACACGATATGGTTGAGCCACAGAAGTTTCCAAAAGCTATATTGATCACATATTCAAGTAAGGCATGAATATACTGTTGGGTGTGGTATTTTAGTCTGAGATTTAGATATATCGCCATATTTTACAAGGGTCTCAGCGGCGGATCCGGAAGCTAAGAAGGGGGGGGGGCATATTTCAAATCAGAACCAAAATTTCAAAATAGACTGGATCTGCAAATCTTGTCTGAACATTGTTTTATGCATTTCCTTGTAAACAATTTTCTCAAACATCGAATTGATTAATGTAATCCCTGCAATTGCGCTCATTAATCGTTCTTGATATCTTATCCAAGGGTGCGATTATAGGGAGTTTAAGCTTGCATATACAATCGAAACGCCAACCTATACGTAAGACCAATCACCCGTATAAATGCTTCGCCTAAATATTTTCCATTCACGTTGAGGTTGTTAAAAACATTGCAAGCTTATACTCTCTATTGTTCACTCTGTGCCTTGTTGATAGTTAAACGGTTTTTCAAAGACGAAGGATTAGCTTACGATATCATCGATAATTTGAAATATGCATGCCTATATAGCCTTGCCCAAGTCGGTCTCTTTTACTTATTTTGATTTCTATTATTCAAAATCAAGATTAGAATACCGACTTGGACAAGGCTAATAAATATAAAATCAGACTGAATGAACTGTGAAAAGGTCATTTAATTCACGACAAATTGGAAATGACTACCATTTGTTCAAGTTCGATACATACTGTACATATATAGTAAATGAAATTCCTCTTTAGTTATCATGTGCATGTACCTCCCTATCTCTTCGTCCGGGTATTTCGTATTTGGCGACAACTTGAGGAACAACGTTTTACAGAATCTAACAGAGCAGCCGGTTATCCGACACATTGCGGAGGTCCTTATCACGTTGCACCTCTTGCTTGGCTTCAACATTGTCATAAATCCCATCAGCCAAGAAGTAGAAGAATTCTTCAAGATTCCACATTGTAAGTTTGCTCCGTCATTTACAACCGTGTCACAACATGCTTTGTAGTAAAAACGTCTAAGTCATTGTGGGTTAAGAAGAAGAAGCTTAAAAAGGGATCCTGACTTACCTTCCCTTACCAGTTTAAAGACAATAAAAACCTGATGTGCTTTAACAGTGACTAATCAATTAATGTCCATCGTTTTTTCTTTTCAGCATTCAACTGGAAGCGATGCCTTATCAGATCAGGCATTGTGTGTTTTGCCCTTTTTGTCGCTGAGACAATACCTCATTTTGGTTCAATTCTCAATCTAATTGGTGGATCTAGTACGGCTTTTCTCATATTCGTCTTCCCGTCGATATTTTATCTGAAGCTGTGTAGCATGAAAGGAGACTGGGATGAAATGTAAGAGCAAAAGGCTGTCAAAGTCGAACTTCGCTCGGATTGACCAAAAGCGTTCAGATTGTCAGGTTTTCACTCTTAGTCTTATTTTAAAGTATTTCCAATGGAAGATTAACAAAAGTGTTCATATTGAGAAGTATTCGCTTGTCCAGGTTTTACTGCACAATATAATGATTATTTCAACCGTGCGCCCAAAGAGAACAAAAGTACGCGATATTCTAAATACATGTAACTATTTTACTAGTCATATAATCAAGTACTCTTTTGATTGACGTTTGATCATTTATACTTATATGTGTTAGGTCTTTCTATTTTTATTTGTGCACTTATACTCGTATATGTCAGACTTGAATAAACTTAATATTTTATTTTTTTCAGAGAAGTTGAGCTGTGGGAAAAAGTTCTTTTAATTATATTATGCTCAATCGGCGTAGTTGGTGGCGTCGCTTCAACAGTATCAACAATACAATCAATGGTGGACCCGAAAACATTTGTACCACCGTGTTACGTAAACGGCGGTGTATAGTGGAATGATATACCACCATGTTACGTCTATACCACCTGGATACGTAAATGGTGGTGGTGTTGTGGAATGTACTCCCGGTGTGACAGAAATAATGGTCCCTTAGGGATGATTACCCCGGACTTTTTTTATCCCTAGAAATAAGGCATAATATTGACTTTTGGATATACAGGGTGTCCCGAAAGTATGCACCCCCCCCCTAGGCGGACATATACCAATGTCTTCATGGTATGTGTCATATATCATTTTAAAGCTCATCAAAACTTACATTGATTTGCCAAGTATCGTGGTTCAACTCACAAATGGTTTAAAGATACAGGCATTTCAAAACTTAGTGTTTGGCAAAAAATATAGTTCATTTCAGTATCCTGTATTTTGAAATGCCCGTTACCTTTTCCCATTTGTGAGTTGAACCGTGATACTTGGCAGATCAATGCAACTTTGGATGATCTTTAAAATGATATATGACACGTACTATGGAGACATTGGTATATGTCTGCCTAGGGGGGGGGTATACTTTCGGGACACCCTGTACAGTTGTGTCATAAAATTAAACCGAACCCACAATTTCGAGGTATGTTACGATTTCCTCAACCTACAGAATAATAAAACCATATTTTCGACGATCTTTAGTACCGATGATTGCATTACAGTTTTTGTTTTTCTGTAACATGGGAGGATTTTCATATTAGGGTAGCAGATTATGTTACTTTCTGATAGATTTACATGTAAAAAGGAACATTTTGGGTGGGTAAAAGAAAATTTTATATTGAAATAACTAGAGAAGGGTCGGTTACGGTTCGGTTCGATTAACCGCGGTTTTTGGCCTCACGGTTCTACTGGGACCGTCTGATCACCAAGAACCGAGTCCAAAACGGTTCCATCATTCCCGGGGAAATACTTTATTTTCGTGCAGTGTAACATGAATACCAAACTTTTGCGCAAATAATTACAGCTCTATTACATCTAAATAGCGAATGAAAGTACCATTTAAACGACAATTTAACAACTTTAAACGATCCATACGGTAATAAAATCGTTTCCTTGGATATTTCATTGTTCTTCCACGTCTCGAGGGAACATAATTCTACTTGCCAGCGTGAATTTATTTCGCGCGGAAACACTTGTGTTTTTAAAATGGCGGACAGTTTTCGAAGTCTTAGGCAAAGAGCCTATCGGTTGTGCAACACGACATTGAAATACGCTGCAGGTTTCCAATTTTTGTGATAGAAACATTTTGTAAATTTTTTTAATTTTAAAAATTAGATCTAAGACCGCGATCTTTATTAGACTTCAATTCATTCCCTATCTTGTAACTGCTTCCTATTACCCACTCATAGTAACATTTTTTATGACTGATATATACACTTTTTCATGTGTCCTACCTCAGGTCCCAAGTCAGGTTGAGAATTTGGGTAAACATCCCCTAGCCCACTGCACTGTTATTCCCAACTGAAGGACATCTGTGCTATCCATATAATTTTAGTTTTCAGGAAACACACTGTCTGCCGTGAGGAAACATATTGAACGGTCTTACCCAACCAGACCCAGTTTAAAAAGGAATCCCTCCCATCTAACACGGGGCAAGCAACTTGTTGATAGCCACATACAAATACACTGTAGTTCAATTCTAGTTATTTAATTCCATAAATATTCAATGATTATCAGCTATCATCATTCCATTTTTTTTTTTCTTTTAAAATAGTCTTTATTCAACTTTTGGTTATTTTACATAACATAAACAATGACATAAAGTAGATTCATTTTAATAGTTTTGATACAAAATTCCACTTTGAACAATAAAATACATTTTTTCTGTAATTAATTTCATATTTTATCAATGAAATCATGCTTTCAAATGCTCTTTGTTTTTTACTATTCAATTCTAAAATATATGATTTATAAATACTGTTTGTAACAATGCTGATAAAATAATTTAAAAAATGTGTATGTGAGTCATGGCCATTATAACCAATTATAATTTTTCTGTAAGAAATATTAAGGCCACATGTTTTATGTATCAGTGCCCATATATCTTTTGCTAAGGAACATTCAAAAATAATATGTTTCAAGTCACAAAAATTATTGCAAATACTACAATGATAATTATCTGTTATCCCATAGAGAAATAAGTCAGTTAATCCAGGAAGAATATTGTTAATTATTTTGAAGTTAAAATTGGCAATTTTTTTGTCTTTAACTTTTATTATCTTGCTAGTAAAAAAATTTGGCCAATTTATTTCATCTATTTTACCTTCATTTGTTATACAAAAATCTCTTTCCCATTTCTTGTAGGTAAACCATTTTTCAGATTTTTTATTTTTCAGTATTGTATAAAAGAAATTGGATTTTTTACCTCTAAAGTCTAATTGGATGTTTTTTACTTTAAAGTTGGGTTTTCTTGGTATATTTGTGAATTTTACTTGTTCTATATTAATAAAGCATTTTATTGATTTCATTACAGTTAGGACTTGAAAATATTCAGAAATCCAATTTTTTTTTTTTTTAACTTTTCAAAAATATAGTTAACATTTAAAAATTCATTTTGAGTTATGAGATCTTTGACATAGATAATATCACTATCTATCCAAGATTTGAAGAAAAGTGGTTTGCCTTTCAATTGAAATAATCTGTTATTCCATATGGTTTGTTGGATTATTTCATGGTGTTTTAATTTATTGATTATATCATGGTCTTTACAACTATTATATGCTTTTAGAACTTGTTTATAGAACACAGGCAGTCTATCAAGATGCTCATTAGAGAAAACATTCATTTTTAATAAAATGTCCATATTCGGAGCCAGTTTGCTAAAATAAAAGTACGGAATTTTATTAAATGTGTTTTTTTTGTCATATATACGACTAATCCATACAGCTTTTAGAGCATTTAGCTGTGATTGAAAATCTAACATGTTTAGACCTCCACTGTCTATAGAGTTTATTACAATAGTTCGTCTTATCTTGTCTTTCTTCCCATCCCATAAAAAGTTGTATATTAAATTGTTAATTCGTTTAATAATTTCTTCTTTAAATGATAAAATAGATGCTGAATATACAAGTTTTGATATGGCTAAAGACTTTATAATAGTGATTTTTCCAAATAAAGTAAGGTAGCGTTTTTTCCAAGAATCTAATGTTTTTCAAGGTCATTTATTTTCTCATTCCAGTTTAAATCATAGCATTTATTTATGACCTATGTATATGCCTAAATATCTTACAGGTTCATCTGTAAAATTAATATTTTCAAATTTACTTTCAAAAGCACGATTGGTTCCAAGCCATATTCCTTCTGTTTTATTTAAATTGAGTTGTAGGCCTGAGTATTTTGAAAATTGTTTAATGGTTTTTAATGCTTCACTTATGGATGCTTTGTCTTTCATAAATAATGATGTATCATCTGCTGATTGTGATATTTTATACTCTGTGTTATCAATTTCAATTCCTTTGATTTTTTCATTTTGAATCAGTTTTAAAGACATAACTTCACAGCATAATATGAATGCGATTGCAATATTCCATATTGATCATTTATAAGATTGAAAATACAATTATATTCCCTAATAATACAAAATAAAAGTGAAACACCTTTTTATGTTGCCATATTTGTGGCACCAATTGCAATTTATGAAGCCCACCTTATTACGTATATGATTTAAGAACCGACCGAACCGAGAGACAAGAACCGAGAATCGTACCGAACCGAACCGAACCGTGACCGACCCTTCTCTAGAAATAACCAGACGGTCAATCCTCTTCATATCGCACTTGGATGATGATAATATCATAGTAATACATTGTAAAAAATATGAGCAACATCTAATGTCTGAAACTTAAGTTATGCTGACCCTGTACTGCATCCTTAAGTGTCAGTCCCTCAATCTAGTGAGATATAACATGAATTTACTGAGCAATAAAAGTAAATAAAAGAAAAGTCAAAAGTCGGGGCAAAAGTAAAACCCCACTTGCGAAATCATCCCGGATACAGGGGAGGCCCGAAGCAGGGTGGGGGCGGCTTAGCAGTTTTCGCGCGACTTTTGGCAAAAATTGTCATATTTGAAAAATCAAACAAAATCTGAAAAATACACTTGCCAGTGAAAACAAATAAGTGTTAAAAATAGGGATTTTTCATGTAATTGAACATAGCTGAAACAGAACGTATTTTTGCTCAACATTTTATGTATTCTAAAATAGAATGCCTTTATCTGAAGTACGTCAGCATACTTTTTGATCGTTTCGATTGTAAGTAGCGTTGATATCTGGCTCCAAAATTGTGAATTTCGGTGAAATTGCCAATGTAACAGGACAACACGCTTTTGAAAACATGTCATATCTCAATAATAAATGGTCGCATCTTTTAATTTTGGTTATGCTGGCATAGAGAACATTCATTCAGGGTGTGATGAGAGCACCGGATTTGATCTCCACCTATTACCGAATATATAGACTCAATAAAGTAAATGTAAAATTTATTCTGTGAAAATCGACATGGTCGTTAAAACACACCCACAGGGCATTAGGGGAATCCGAAAAAATTGGGTTATATGTGGTTGGCAAGTCCTTGATTCATTTTATCAGACCATCGTATTCCAAATCGTGATAATAATTGTGATTGAATTATAATGAGCATTATCTGAAAATATCTGGAAATTCACCATTTTTCTTGTGAAAAACGACCAAGATGTAATTCAAACATGGGCAGCATTCTTGTGTAAAGATGGACAGTATTCAAGAAAACATTGTATCCACTCTATTTCAACGAAAAGATTTTACGAAATAACCAGCACGACCCAATCTATGAGCGAATATGGTGTGAAACTGTGACAATCGACATGCGTGAAAATCGACATGGTTATACCATTGTGAGTAATATAACATTGGTTAAAATACATTGATGAAATATTAAGGGCAGCTTTAGTAATGAATAAGGTAATGTTGTTCAGTTTCAAATTGGCTCAGTATAGCGAATACGGTATGTTAGTATACTTTAAGGAAAAGAGAGCT